GAAAATGTTTGGTCTGAAAACTAATTGAAAGACGACAACGTGTGCAAAACAGTGATTCCCTTTTTTTGTCAAGTTCACATTAGAGAAAAAGAAGATTTTGGAGGATACCCATTGGTCAAGATACACTTCTGTTATTATTTTGCCCAAAAGAGAGAGTAGACTAGAAGTGGTCACTGAGTCTATCCCATATCCTCAAATAGTCGCATTTTTAGGTATATATGAACCATACAACACATATATAAACATGTCTATATCTACCCATCATTGCTTTTTTAAAATTTTTTTATCTTTGTTAAGAGTATAATTTGTTTTTAAGTCGATGAATACTATTTTTGTAAAAATGCAAAATAGCACAAAATTTGTATATTCTTTTTGGTGTATGGCACAAACTTGTATTTTAAAAATGGTTCCTAAAATTTCTGATTTTTTTTCCATAATCTTTTAGAAACTTTTTTCAAATCTCAAGGTTGCGATATTTTTAGAATTGTTTCGGTAGTTTTGGAAAATAAAATATACAAATGGTAGTTTATGGAATTCTCTTAAAAATATTAGTTTTATTTCTACTAAACAATAATTGTCACTGCATATATTAACAGAAAATTATTGTAACTCATTTTAATTCACAAATCTTAATTAGTTTTGATAAATTTATAAAAATGGGAATGTTTGACAAACTAACACAACTAAAGGTGTAAAAATACCACAATGAATTATTGAGAAAGGAAAATTTCTATGAAATGTACTCTTTGGGGAGTGACAAAAAAAGAGATAATCAATCATTAGTTTGATTAAAAGTGCGTAATTGTTCCTAATCATAATCTTACTTACCGTCTACCTTTTACTTACGTGGAGCGTCTCCAATGGTAATATAAGGGGAAATAGATGTTTCATTCGTACAACGGTAAGTTGTTCTGTCATAATTCTAATCAATTCCGCAGTAATATGGATTTGAAAAGTATTGTACTTTTTCCATTGTTTTTGAAAAAATATCTAATAAATATTTTGTCGCTTAAATATGATCGTAAGTAGCACTAAGAAAATTTATTATGAAAAGTATCAATTTTTCACATATCAGCTTTAATAACCATGTTGAACTTATAAATTTGTTGTAGAATTTTAGTTTAAATTATGGTATAAGTAGCGATAA